AGGACGGACACGTGTGAAGGATGAGTTCACTGTGATGTCACTGTGATGACACTGAGCTGCTGTGACCTCACTGCACCTCTGTGGTTCACGTTCTCATAGACGGGCAGAAGAGGTTCTCTAGGTGTAGTTGGTGTAGTGTAGGTGTAGAGGGTGCAGTTTAGGTGTAGTTGGTGTAGTGTAGGTGTAGAGGGTGTAGTGTAGGTGTAGAGGGTGTAGGTGTAGTTGGTGTAGTTTAGGTGTAGAGGGTGTAGTGTAGGTGTAGTTGGTGTAGTGTAGGTGTAGAGAGTGTAGTTTAGGTGTAGTTTAGATGTATTTCAGGTGTAGTTCAGGTGTAGTTGGTTGAAAGCTGCTGCACAATAAACTTAAAGACACAGACACCAGCTCACTGTCCTGAATCAGACCACAGCTGCTCTGTTGAGACCTTCATACAGAGGATCAGACTCCGGACCCCTGACTCACCTGACTCACCTGACTCACCTGACTCACCTGACTCACCTGACTCCTCTGACTCCTCTGACTCTTCTGGTCATGTGCCTTGTAGGCTTGAAACATTATCTCTTATAAAAAACATCTGTTGCAGGATATATACAGACACAGTATGACGCAGGTGTATGTACAGGTGTGTTACATAAATAATCATAAAGTTTCTCTCTAATATAAACAGTGGTAGAAAAATAGATGTGCTGCGTCTCACAACAACATTAACGTCTGTAGCTCAGCATCTCTGTGGAGGAAGGACGGACACGTGTGAGGATGAGTTCACTGTGATGTCACTGTGATGACACTGAGCTGCTGTGACCTCACTCACCTCTGTGGTTCACGTTCTCATAGACGGGGCAGAGGAGGTTCTCCTGCTCGCTGCGAAGCTTCCTGGCTCTTAGAACGTCTCTGACGCACTGATGGAGGTACGAGTACTGACACTGAGAACAGGAGAACACAACACTCAGTAAACAACAACAACAGCAACAACACAACAACAACAACACAACACTCAGTAAACAACAACAACACACCGTTCAGTAAACAACAAGACAACAACAACACACCGTTCAGTAAACAACAACAAGACAACAACAACACACCATTCAGTAAACAACAAGACAACAACAACACAACGCTCAGTAAACAACAACAAGACAACAACAACACACCGTTCAGTAAACAACAACAAGACAACAACAACAACAACACAACGTTCAGTAAACAAAAACAAGACAACAACAACAACAACACAACATTCAGTAAACATCAACAACACCTGCAGTCACCTGTTTCTGGATTCTGGATACAATGTGAAGGATTAAAAAAACCAAAACAAACACCTGTGTGACTGCACACACACACAAACACACACACACCTCCCATAATGCCTTGCAGTCCTACCTCAGTCTGCACCATGTGTGATCGGTGGAGTCTCAGGTCAAACACGGAGCCGTAGATATCCAGCGTGTCCTTGGAGTCCAGCTGCTGCAGCACTCGATCCAGAACGATGAAGGTCCCTGTACGACCCACACCAGCACTGACACACACACACGCACACACACGCACACACACACGCACACACACACGCACACACACACGCACACAATGACATCACATCTCTTTTCTTGCTCCAGTTTATTTGTTTTTTTGATTTGATTTTTTTTGATAGAACAAACAGAAAACACTTGTCATGTGACATTTTCAACAAAATCACATCTCAGAACATGGACACTCATTTTTTATGTCATGTAATCGATCATCAAAATAATAGCTAATTACACTTCATCTTAAAGTTGTTCTGTACGTTGTCATGGAGACTGTAAACTAACAGGTTATATATAGTATTTTATTTACAGTACATATATGTTCTGTACCTGCAGTGGACGACGGTGGGTCCAGATCCAGGAGTCCTGTTGACGTAGTCCCTGACAGTCCGGACAAACTGGATGAGGGAGTGGGTGGTCTCTGGGACTCCGTGATCGGGCCACACCGTGTAGTGAAACTGACGGACCAGGCGGGTGAAGCTCAGCTGCTCCTCCTGACACACAGATATACAGGTTCAGAAACAGGTCCAGAATCAGGCCCAGAACCTGAAAAGTTTACTTCTTTTAACGCAGGATGTTGAAGTTCTGACAACATTATTTATTTATCATATCGTGAAATTTAAGTTCAAACACTGGCGAAATGATTTTAGTTCCTTTCTCTTCAGATTTCCTGGTTGTAAACGATGACGACGGTGTAGAGATGAAATCAAAGGTAGCATACGCTGCAGATGTTGAACTCTCGGATGGTCCACTCAGGTAGGACGGACTCCGACAACATCTGGACGATCAGGTCTCCGTAGTACAGAGGATCCTGGTCAAAGGGCCAGTAGTGATCACACTTCACCTGGAGGCAGAGAAGAAGATGAAGCAGTCACTTTATTGTTTGTTTCATCTGCTGCTGCTGTCGGTTGTCTGGTGGGCAGAGTCACTGTAGTGAGGCTCCTCCCACAGACCTCAGACCAGCCAACACACTTAAACAGAGACACCTGAATGTGCACAAACACACAAACAGCTGATTCAGGGTGCTTCTGTGGAGGTGGAACGAGGCGTGACGTTCCTCTGACAGAACCGCACTTTTCAGCAGATGAAATGATGATGTCACTACCCACCCTTCCTTTCTCCACACACTGAGTGACCATCACCACGTTGTGGACGTTCTGTTCCCAAACCATCTTCCAGAAGTCGTCTTTGGTTCCCGGCAGAGGGCCCTGAGTGGCGATGTACTCCCGCCGGAAGTTATTCCCCTGAAAACACACAGCGTCAGCAGTGTTGTCCACTTCGGACCAGACTCTGTACTGGAGTCTGGACCGGACTCTGGACTAGGCTCTGCAGGTTCTGGGCCAGACTCTGGGCCAGACTCTGTACTGGAGTCTGGACCGAACTCTGGACCAGGCTCTGCAGGTTCTGGGCCAGACTCTGGGCCAGACTCTGGGCCAGACTCAGGACTGCAGCCTGGACCAGGCTCAGGAGGGGTCTTACAGGGATGTAGCTGGCATTGATGTAGTCGGAGCAAGGATCATCGTCTACGTAGGACAGCTTCACCCTGGTGGAGTCGTCTGGACACAGAAACCACAGACTCAGTTCAGACCCTGAACCCCCCCCCCCCCGAATGTGCGGACTCTGGCTCACTCACAGGGAAGGATGTTGTTATACCGGTTCTTCCCACGGTTCTCTGGCAGCAGAGCCGAGTCCAGAGGCTGATTACGGCCAACGTCCTTCAGGTCCTGATGGGACGAGAACAGGGTTCAGAGGTCATCAGAGCCCCCTACCCCCACCCCCACCCCACCCCCCGTAGCTGCTGTATGTGTAGATTACCTCGTACTCCTCTGACAGCAGGTAGTTGGAGTCAGCCTGAAGTTTGATGTAGTGAGACTCAAAGTTCAGGATCTTGATGGGACTGAAAGAGACAGAAGGTTTAAGACAAGAACACGTCCCAGGTGAAGACATGAAGCAGCAGGTTGATGTCTCACCTGGAGATACGACGGTTTCTGGAGACGAGAGGAAGAGGAGCAGATGTTAGTGTCACAACCACATGATGAAGAAGAATCATCAGAGCAACACGAGCAGGTTTACTGTACTGTACTTGAGTAGTATAGTAGTATTACAGTAGTATTACAGTAGTATTATGGTAGTATTACAGTAGTTTTACAGTAGTACCGTTCTTACCCTCTGTTTCCCAGGTGACCTCCTGATGTCGCTCTCTCTCTCCTCACACTCATCCTGACTCCTGCTCTCTCCTCAACACTGAAACACACAGCAGTTCGTTACAGCAGCTCGTTACAGCGGCTCGTTACAGCGGCTCGTTACAGCGGCTCGTTACAGCGGTTCGTTACAGCGGCTCGTTACAGCGGCTCGTTACAGCGGCTCGTTACTGCGGCTCGTTACAGCGGCTCGTTACAGCGGCTCGTTACAGCGGCTCGTTACCGCGGCTCGTTACAGCGGCTCGTTACCGCGGCTCGTTACCGCGGCTCGTTACCGCGGCTCGTTACAGCGGCTCGTTACAGCGGCTCGTTACAGCGGTTCGTTACCGCGGCTCGTTACAGCGGCTCGTTACAGCGGCTCGTTACAGCGGCTCGTTACAGCGGCTCGTTACAGCGGCTCGTTACAGCGGCTCGTTACAGCGGCTCGTTACCGCGGCTCGTTACAGCGGGTCGTTACAGCGGTTCGTTACAGCGGCTCGTTACAGCGGTTCGTTACCGCGGCTCGTTACAGCGGTTCGTTACAGCGGCTCGTTACAGCGGCTCGTTACAGCGGCTCGTTACAGCGGCTCGTTACAGCGGCTCGTTACAGCGGCTCGTTACCGCGGCTCGTTACAGCAGCTCGTTACAGCGGCTCGTTACTGTGTCAGTTCCTCACTGTGTCTGTAGATACTCACACTTTGCGAGCTCTGTGTCTGCAGACGAGCAGAGCGGTGACCCCCACCATCATGATGATGAGGAACAGCCCAGCACTGACGCCCTCGATCACGCCGCCCAGAGGTTCTGCAGGAGACAAACAGTCAGATAACATCTGTTTTTTCTTCCCTCCTACCACCTGACTGCTGTTAGCATGAGCACTAGTGTTTGTTCTCTTTACAACAGACAGACAGAGCCTTCCTCCTGCTTTGTCCTCACCGGCCTCGGTGACCACAGGGAGGGACAGGTATGTGTCGGTGTACAGAGGAGAGGACATGGGGAAGTCGCTTCTCTCCTCGTCAAACAGCTGAGTGAAAGCTCGAACACTGAGTCTGAGGGACACAAGCAAACAGCACACACCAGCTTCAGTTCATCTACTGAACTCAGCGATTCTACGACAATAAACACCTGCAGGATTCTACACTGATGATACTTTTTACTCTTCATATTTACTCATATGATGTTATTGAGTACATTAAGTTCTGTATTTTCTATCTGCTACTTGTGTTTACTTTGTGAGGACAACATCTGTCACATCTGTCACTACAGGAGAGGGAGCCTCCTCAGGTTTCTGTTGGGGAGAATCAAAGGTAAAGACAAAGAGTCTCGTTCTCACTGACTTTAAGCACAGCTGGTTTTTACAAACTGTTGTAACTGACAAAGATGACATAATGATGATGTTGCAGTTAAAATTCTTTGGAAATAAACTGGGGCAATAAACTGGATTTTAGTTCTGAGTCTAAAACCTGAAGAGTGAGAACTCCCTCTGCTCAGTACCTGTAGGCAGTTTTAGGCTTCAGTGGTCCATCACAGAACTGGTTCAGGTCTCTGCTGGTCTCTGGATCTGTGTCTCTGTGGTCGCAGGACCCTCCAAGTGACTCCATCCCCGTCCCCACGTTGATCTCAAAGCTGTGGGGGCCCTCGGTGCAGTTACTGTGGAAGTATCTGGTTTGGTAGGACTTGATGGAGCTGTTGGACTTATAGTCCAGGTAGGAGGGCAGAGGGTGCTGCTGGTCCGGCTGCACATTGTCAACACCTCCAGAAATGAAAGACAGGGAAAAGCAGTCAGAGTCCAGTTTCCTTAAATACTGCGACATGTTCTTCAGTAACTCCAAGTTCTTTACATTTAAATTTCTATAAATATTGAGACAATGTAGTTTTTACAGAAAATAATCTCACTGATTGTGTTGCACCTCAGAGGGCGGAGCCAGGAAGAGAAAAGCTGTTTTCATAGACAGACTCGGTTAACTGTAACTTTGGTTAAAATACTAACAAAGAAAATATGAAATATTAATATCATCAATTGTTTTCCATTATTATTAATATTTGTGAAATCAGCCATAATCCTGCAGGTAAGAAAGGTGCAGGTACAGGTACAGGTGTTGGAGGATTAAATGAGCACTGATGTAGCCCTGCTATGTTAATGTTGGAAGATGAATTTAAAATCAGAGCATGTGGAGGTGTTTGCTCAGTCTGGCTCCGCCTGCTGTGACTGAACCAACCAATCAGATATGATTATGGTGCGCTGTCAGGGTGTCGGTACCTTCAGACTCAGTCACCACCACAGTGAAGAACCTGACGGCTCCGTTGACGTCACTGAACCAGCTGCAGTTGAACCTGAAGATGATGGAGGACTTGGTAACCACAGCGGACTTATCACTGACCCGGGTACTGAGGGGGGGGACAGGAGGACCTGGGGGAGTCATGACAGGGCGCTTTAGAAATCTTCATTTGACACTTGATTTGATAAAAAGTAAGTCCTGGTCTAAACCTGAGCAATTCATAAAGCCTGATGCTGGACTCTGGTCTTTATGCCCCGCCCCCCTTACGGTCAATCATGGTGACCACGTCGTCCTGAGCCGCGTCGCTGGTCGTCTGGTCTGAGATCACCTTCACAGAGACCGTGTAGCGTTTGTGGGGCTCCAGCTGGGTGATGACGTAGGTGGTGGCATTTCCGCTGGTGCGTCTGGAGTAAACCAGCGTCTGGGAGTCCTGGAGGAGACACTCGACGGTGTAGGAGTCGTAGTCGGCCACCGGAGGCCCCCACGAGCAGGAGATGGAGTTGGAGCTCTGAGGGCGACAGTGGAGGCCGTGGACTCGCCCCGGCTCTTCAGCAGGAGACGACGACAGCAGAGCGAGTATGACATTAACACAGTGATTTACGAAGACCATGAACGCATCATCAGCAGATTAAATACCAACAGTTAAGAGAGGTGAACTGAGGTGAAGCGAGGTGAACTGCAGTGAACCAAAGTGAACTGAGGTCAACTGAATGAACTGAGGTGAAGTGAAGTGAAATGAGGTGTAATGCAGTGAACTGAAGTGAACTGAAATGAGCTGAAGTGAAGTGAACCACGGTGAATTGAAGTGAACTGAGGCAAACTGCAGTGAACTGAAATGAAGTGAAGTGAACTGAAGTGAATTGAGGTGAACTGAACTGAGGTGAACTGCAGTGAACTCAAGTGAACTGAAGTGAACTGAGGTGAACTGAAGTGAACTGATGTGGACTGAACTGAAGTGAACTGAGGGGAACTGAGGTGAACTGAAGTGAACTGAGGTGACCTGAAGTGAACTGAGGTGAACTGCAGTGAACTCAAGTGAACTGAAATGAAGTGAAGTGAACTGAGGTGAACTGAAATGAAGTGAAGTGAACTGAGGTGAAATGCAGTGAACTCAAGTGAACTGATGTGGACTGAGGTGAACTGAAGTGAACTGATGTGGACTGAACTGAAGTGAACTGAGGGGAACTGAGGTGAACTGAAGTGAACTGAGGTGACCTGAAGTGAACTCAAGTGAACTGAAATGAAGTGAAGTGAACTGAGGTGAACTGAAATGAAGTGAAGTGAACTGAGGTGAAATGCAGTGAACTCAAGTGAACTGAAATGAAGTGAAGTGAACTCAAATGAATTGAGGTGAACTGAACTGAGGTGGACTGAGGTGAACTGAGGTGAACCGAGGTGAAATGCAGTGAACTCAAGTGAACTGAAGTGAACTGAACTCAAGTGAATTGAGGTGAAGTGAACTGAGGTGAACTCAAGTGAAGTGCACTGAGGTGAAATGCAGTGAACTCAAGTGAACTGAAATGAAGTGAAGTGAACTGAGGTACATTGAAGTGAACTGAGGTGAACTGCAGTGAACTCAAGTGAACTGAAATGAAGTGAAGTGAACTGAGGTACAGTGAAGTGAACTGAGGTGAACTGCAGTGAACTCAAGTGAACTGAAATGAAGTGAAGTGAACTGAGGTAAAGTGAAGTGAACTGAGGTGAACTGCAGTGAACTCAAGTGAACTGAAATGAAGTGAAGTGAACTGAGGTACATTGAAGTGAACTGAGGTGAACTGCAGTGAACTCAAGTGAACTGAAATGAAGTGAAGTGAACTGAGGTACATGAACGTGAACTGAGGTGAACTGCAGTGAACTGCAGTGAACTCAAGTGAACTGAAATGAAGTGATGAGAACTGAGGTACAGTGAAGTGAACTGAGGTGAACTGCAGTGAACTGCAGTGAACTCAAGTGAACTGAAATGAAGTGAAGTGAGGTGAAATTAAGTGAAGTAAAGTGAAGTGAGGTGAAGTGAAGTGAACTGCTGCCACCTACTGGTTCGGATGCTGCTGTGGATGGCTGTGCTGTAGGTGGGTGTGGCCCCGGCCTCCGTGTCCCCGCTGACAGTTCGGAGGCTGAAGGTGTAGAGTCGTCCAGGGAACATCCCGGCCAGGATGCGGCTGCCGGATGTCCGGCTGTGATATGGGTTGATGACGGACAGCCGGTCTACAGGAGTCCACTGCAGGTCGAAGTTGTCATAGTCGGAGCTCACAGGACCACTCCATGTGATCTCCAGGGAGGTGTTGGTGACCCCCCTGAACAGGAAGGAGGTTGGAGGTCTGGGAGCTTTTGGGGAGGAGGGTTGTGAATGTTTGTGTGATGTAGTTGTTCATGACAAAGTAAAACCAAATCTTAGCTCCACGTGTCAAACTCTGATTGATCATTTTATTCATTGATTGATTATCTAAATCAATTAGATGCGGATCAACATCTAATTGATAATAATAATGATCAATCTCACCGGTCCGGCCCAGGGTGATGGCTCTGTTGCTGAGCTCTCCGCTCAGACTCAGGACCTCAGCTCGGTATAGTCGACCCGGGACCAGGTCTGAGAAGACGAACTCAAAGGCCTCTGAGTCCAGCTGCTGCTCGGCCTGTTTGGAGTTGTCAGGTTTGTAGAGAGACAACATGAAACCACTGACATCACCGAGGCCACGCCCCCAGGTCACGCACAGAGACTCAGATTGGTTTCCACTGTTAGCCCTCAGAGAGATCACGGCTGCTGGGACTAAGGAGGAGGAGGAGACATGGTCCCAATGACCATTGATCCATGATCAGTGATCAGTGAATGAAATACCTGTAAGATCATGACTCATCCTTAATCATATCAACTATTCCCTCCCCCCTCACCTGTCCTGGCCAAGATGGAGGTCTGGTTGGTCTGGTCTCCGCTGTGGGTCAGGATGACCATCCTGTAGAGGGCGCCAGGTCTGAGACCCTGGAAGGAGACTTGCTGACTGCTGGACTGGGCTCGCTGTCTCTCCTGCAGCGATTCATCACTTTTATACAAGAAGATCTCGTAGAGCTCGAACTCGCCCTCTGGTGGAGACCAGAGGAAGGACAGGCTACTGGTGGTGTTGATCTTCACGGCCAGGTCGGTGACGGCTGCAGGGCCTGATGGGAAGAAAACTGACCATATTTAGTCTGTACATGTTCAATATGTATCAGTGCAGCAGACACTTCAGATTGATCCAGGTTCAGGGCTCAGACCTCAAGAATAAATCCACATAAGACCAGAGACTAAAACCACATAAGACCATGAACCAGAGACCAATGTTCTCTAAAGACTTTCTGGAAATATTTAAACATTATTCACGAAACACTCTTTTTGTCTTTTTTTCTCTTTTTCTTTTTCTCTTTATGTCTTTTTGTCTTTCTGACATTTTGTCTTTTTGTCTTTTTGCTTGAAATGTTTTAACTTCTTTTCTTGAATTAAATATAAGAAACATTTTCGGTCAAAGAATTTTGACTTTGCTCTTAAACCCTTTTTTGTCGGAACCTTCCAATTTTATTCAAAGTATTTTTTTTTTACATCATTTTCAATTTCATAATAATTTTTCTAAGAAATTACTTTTTTTGTGTAAAAATTACAACTTTTTATGATTTTTTTTACATTAAAACTTTATTATCTGAAACCTTCCACCTTTTTTCTTGACAAATAATCAAAAAAAATTTTTTTAAATGATCTCTTCATTCTATAAAGATTTAATCTTTTAACATTCAGACTCCAAACCTTCCTGATGCTATAGAACCATTCCACCTTGTTTGAGTTAGAAACAGGAAGTCTTACGTGTCCGAGCCTCTGCGTTGACCCCCGGGCTGTGGACCCCCCCGCTGGTGGTCTGGACTAGGACTCGGTACTTCTTTCCCGGGGTGAGGCCGTCGAATCTGTAGCTGGTGTGTCCAGAGGGCTGAGAGGAGTTTGTCACCAGACCACCTCTGCTGTCCAGAACCTGCAGGATGTACCCGTCAGCCACACCCAGAGCTTCCTGCCAGTTCACCTGGAGGCTGCAGGTGGTGTGAAGGTTCTCCACCTGGACCCCCGTCACTGCTGAGGGGACTGGAGACAGGACGGGAGGGTGGGTGTTAGGTAGGGATTGTTGGAGGTTATGGTGGAAAAAGAAACGAAAAGAAAAGCTGAGTCTGGAGATGGTTTTCTTTAAGTGGCCACTAGATGTCAGCAGAGAAAGAGAGTCTTCCTCTTCTTCTCTTTAACTTACATGACCATGAATACACTCCTGAACCTTTACTGTGAAAAACAGCAGCGGGAGGAAACAGCTCCAGACTCAGGAATCTGAGTGTTTTCAACACTGAAGAGATTATTAGTTATTGATCAGCTGATAGAAAACTGTTACACTGAAAGTTGGTATCATCAAGTACCAACTTTAGTACAACATACACTGTACAGGTGTGTGTATAGGTGTGTGTAAAAGTGTGTGTACAAGTGTGTGTACAGATTTGTGTACAGGTGTGTGCTGACCTGTGCGTCCTGAGGCAGTGTTGTTGTTGACCAGCTCTCCGCTCACAGACTGGACGGTCACAGTGTACACCTGTCCGGGCTGCAGGGATCCGAACGTCACCTCGTTCTGGTGTTTGAGGACGCGGCGGACATCCAGCTGTCTGCTCTGTCTGAACAGAAACACAGAGAACCCGTCCACGTCTCCCTGACCCGGAGTCCAGCTCACCTTCAGACTGCTGCTGTCTCCACTGTTACTGACATGGATGTTCTTCACTCTGCTGGGAACTGAAGACACAGAGTCTCACCTGGTTTATATTTACAGAGTCTTTCCTCTCAGAGATTAATAATCTATTATTGGAGCTGGTTATTCGTCTACCTGTCTTCTAACATTACATTACATTATAGATCCTGTGCTTGCTTAATATTATACCTTCATGTCCTCCTGGCTTTTATTTTGACTGTTTTACACTTCACTTCCTCTTCCTGTCTGTTCAAAATTGGACCATTTTTTAAATGAGATTTTCTGGCAGAAAACGAACAGATCACATGATTTTATTATTCATTTTTGGTTTCAAATTAAAAATCAAACAAAACCGTGTAAATCTGGTTTTTAGTTTCAAACAAAATAATGATAAAAGGAATCACGGTTTTTCCATTTTGGTTTTGAAACAAATCCCATACTCAAAGGTTTGTTGTTTTAAATTACAAATGAGTCATGGACTATCTGATGATACCCAGACCCTGTCAGCTGTTGTGAGGTGTCCCCCCTCCCCCCTCCTGACCTGTGCGGCCCTCTATAAACTGGGCTCTCTGGTTGGGGCCGCTGAAGGTTGAAACCAGGATCTTGTAGAGGCGTCCAGGTGTGAGCGAGGACAGCACACACTCCCCAACGCCACTGCCCAGAGTGATGGGAGGGAACACCTTCATGTCGTTGAACAACAGCTGCACCTCGTAGTGATCCACGTCACCCAGAGCGGCGGACCATGTCACCCTCAGGTCCTCGGTCCCCTGCCTGGCCAGGACCAGGAACCGGACCGCTGATGGGACTGCAGGAACAGGAGGGGGTGGAGTCAGTCTGTCTGATTTAATCATGTGAATAAACACTCTGGAAACATCAGGACAGCTGTGGATGCAGGTTTTTCTGACAGTTGCAAAACAATGATGTCAAACTCATGGCGGACAGGAAGTAAAAGTCCAGGCTTCACACTCAGACATCAGAAAACAGACTGAGCAGAAATCAATAAAGAATTAGACCAATAACAGAATCAATAACGACACTGGTATCAATAAAATCTGATCACTTTCCATCGTCCCAACTGACCACACACCATTTACAGTGACTCTATGGGGCTCTCCTGATCTGGTCTGATCTGGTTCAGGTCCAGCAGGTCTATGTAAGTACCATGTTAATCAGCCTTCAGTTATTGGCTGATCTCCTAAAGGTCAGAACAGGTCAAAGTTTCATGGAGGAGCCACCTCCTGGCTTTAGACTAAACTTTTGACCCCAGTGCAGGTAGGTCAGAGGTCAGAGGTCACTCACGGGTCCTGCCGTGGGTGGAGGCGCTGGCTTCATATTTCCCGCTCCGCGTGTTCACCAGCACCGTGTAGAGTCTTCCTGGCACCAGGCCGTTAAACACACACTCGTTCTGCGTCTTCAGCACCGTCTGGTTCTGCAGGAACACGTTGTTGTGTTTGATGAACACCTGGTACAGGTCGAAGTCTCCAGCAGCGTGACGCCAGTAGACCTTCAGGTAGTCATCCCGGGCAGCGTGGGTCGCTGTCGGGTTCTGGACCTTTGACGGCTCTGAGAGAGGACAGTGGGTAAGAAGACTGATAACTCGCCGTCATGACGAGGGAACACAACATGAACTTTCATATTTATATGTAATTTTAGACTCTGATTGACGTTTCAAATCCCACATAAGCAACGTAACCATGACCGCTTTCTTCCTCCTAAGAAATGTTGCCAGAGTGCGTCTGTTTTTAACTCAACAAAGCTGATGAGAAGCTCCTTCATTCTTTGTCTTCAAGCAGACTGGAAACTGTGACACTCTTTCTACTGGTATTCCCAAAAAAGTCAATTGAGAAACTTCAGCTGATTCAGAAATGTCCCTAATGTCCCCAAAATAAACCTGGGGAAGCTCTTCACCCACTGTGACCTCGACTGTGGAACAACACTTCCAAGAAATATGAGAGGAATGGATGAGTGGATGTTTCTAAACAACTGAAAACACACCTGTTCAATTTAGCTTTTAATTACCTCAGAGGTTTTTTTTAATGTTTTTGATTTGAACGTTTTCCCAGTTTTTTAATGATTTCCTGTTTTAACTCCTGCTGTGTAAATACAGTTCAATCATTATTATTATCATTACATCATTACATGTTACATTACATGTCAGCTGTTGTTTCCAGACTCAGTGATGAAGTTTGACCCTCAGTGGCACCGGTCCGACACCACAAAAACAGACAAGTAAGTGATGGACTTACGTGTTCTCTCCTGGACGAAGGTGTGGTTGTGGTAGCTGCCGCTGCGGGATGTGATGGAGATGTTGTAGAGGCGTCCGGACACCAAGGAGTTAAAGACACACTCTGGACTGGACTTAGAAACAGCCAGAGTGTGAACCGTCTTCTCCCGGTCGCTCAGAGTCACCAGGTAACTGTCCACCTCACCTGCAGCCGGACGCCACGACACACTGAGGAAGTCCATACGACCGTTGTTACTGACTGTCACCTCGCCCACGGCTGCAGGGACTGATGGAAGAAGGTCAGAGACGCAGGAAGAAACAACCATCAGTAATATCACGCCCTTTGATCTTATGATATATATCAGTCCTCATGTGTCCACTGTCTCTGAAACATTCCTCCACATGTTCTCCAGCAGCAGAAACGTCTTTAAATTGAATGATGAAGTTTGTCCTCTTCCTGACAGGAAGTCTCTGACAGGAAGTCTCTGAAAGGTTTTTTTTATTGTTGTTTTCGACACTTCCTGAAAATTCCTGACAAATTCCTGCTTTTCAATAATATCCTGCTTTTAGTTGAACACACACACACACACACACACACACACACACACACACACACACACACACACACTGAGGATGAGTGTATCTATTGTCTCACATTTAAAAACAAACTCATGTTGTAACATCACTGAGTTCACGTCATTAACTCTGTGACTCTGCAGTCTGACCTCTGACCTCTGACCTCTGCAGAACATGAGGAATCAGATTTCTCTTACCGGTGCGTCCCTCTGCCACCACCTGTCTGGAGGTGTGTCCGGCTCTGACCGTGGTTAACACCACCCTGTACAGAGCTCCGGCTCTCAGGGCGTGGAAGCCGACACTGGTGGCGTTGGCCTCCACACTTTCGTTCTTGATGACGCTGCTGTCGTGGACCAGCAAGACCTCGTACGAGTCCAGATCCCCAGAGGCTCGGAGCCACTGAGCCCGCAGACTGTCAGTGGTGCCGAGGTTAGAAACCTGCAGCCTGCCCACCTGAGCCGGACCTGAGAGGACGGACACAGACAGAGAGACCATCATCAGACAGGCTGAACTGTGGGACTGACACAGGACCAGGACCAGGACCAGCAGGTCACCACAGCAGGAACAGGATGTAGACTAGAAAACAGCCCTGTCAGTCAGATCATCACACACTGCATCTCTCACCACTGATCACATGACCACAGTGCAGAGGGAGAGAGAGATTGGTCCTCCAGCGCCCCCCGGTGGTCTGTGAGTAAATTAGCAGTAACATCCTGTTTTAGATTTGGTGTTTCTCTAACTGACCTCAGAGCTGGTGGAGGGGAGTCTGTGTGTTCTCAATATCAAATCAAACATGTTTGTTTAATGATTTATGTCAGAATTGATTAGTGTGTTAAAAACTGAACCCTCTTTCAGAAGGAAGTCCTACATCAGAGCATCTTCTCCCTCACGTCACTTTGTGCTCAAATTTAAGATACTGACTTTTTAATTTATGAATTATTTGTTGAATATATTTTTTTACTGTACCACTTTCAGTTTGTATTTTTGTTTAAGTTTAGAACCCCTGTTTGTTTTGTTGGGCTACGCTAACAGTTAGCTAACTGTCACCGACACAACAGGGAAGCGTTTAGTGTTTTAATGGTGACGTCATCACCTGGTCAGGCCATTGTTCATATGTGTTGGATAATTCTGATGCTGCATAAACAGCTACACCTGTTGCTGTGCAGTGTGTGAGGTGCATGGTTAATCGATAATCAATACTCTGTCTATAATCTATAGCTGAGGGGTTAGAGAACAGTGGATCCTATCCTGGACTGGTTCTGAGACCAACACGTGGTGCTGATGGTCTGGACTGGTTCTACGTACTGGTCCACGCCGTCACAGAGGCAGAGCTGCTCAGGTTCCCGCTGTTGGTTGTCACGGTGATGGCGTAGCGGCGTCCTGAGGTGAGGACGTTGAAGGTGCAGTCTCTGGACTCCGAGGGGAGGAGCCTCTGAGCCACCACAGCGTCGGTGTCCGCCGGTCTGAGGAACGCCGTGAAGCCGTCCCACTCACCGTCCGGGCCACTCCACAGGACGCTCACAGAGGAGTCATCGGCGTGACGGACGAGCAGCTGCTGCACAGGGCGAGGAGCTGGGGGGGGGGGGCAACATTAGTACAACAAACCACCTGTGAACCAGGTGTTCATCTCCCCACACCTGACACTTTCCATCTGTCCGCCAGATTATTATTGTTATTATCAACAATGAGTTAATGGATACATGATAGGAGATAATTCTATCTTTCTATCTTTGGATGTCCATTAGTTTCATTAGTTCAGCACCTGCTCCACCTTCTCAGGTGATGCTAACAGGTGATGGAAATAGAGAAACAGTCATTAAGTACCTGCTCCTTATATTCACTTTCTAGAAAAAAACAGGAAGTGATGTCGTAGGTGAGTGACATCACACTGACTGCAGCAGGTTGTGAAACTAAACCAGAAATCAATGAATCAATAAGATGATCAGTGATTGATCAATAACAAACTCAGTGGGTCTCTAAACATTCCTGGTAGAAACACCTAGTGTGAACATGAACTGACCGAGTCGTCCATGGCAGTACGCTGTGTTCCCCAGAATGCCGCTGTTCACCGTGACCTCTGCGGTGTAGCGGCGTCCCGGCACCAGGCCGAGCCCGAGGGCGGAGAAGGACAGCTGTCTGCTCGGTCTGTCCACAGTCCGATTCACCAGGACTGCTGAGCCCGTCCTCAGCAGGACGCCGTAGTTCTCCCAGTCACCTGTGGGCTGCGTCCAGCTGAGCCTCAGGGTCCCGCCATCAGCAAGAGGAGACAAGGAGAGCGCCGCCACCCGGTCAGGCACTGGGGGGGCAGAAACTTTATTTATACAGCACTTACAACACGGAGGGAAATACAACATCATCATCAGCATAGTCATTTTAGTCATCGTCGTCCTAATTGTCATAGTTGTGGTTTTCATCATAATCGTTGTAGTCGTCATTATAATTGTCATTGTCATCATCATCGTCATCGTCATCGTCATCACAACATGATTTCACATTGACCTGAAAACCTGACACTGACCTGAGAGGAAAACCTGCAGACAATACTCAGGGCTGAAGGTGCTGACCCACCTGTCCTACCGCTGGTCCTGGTCTCTGTACTCTGTCCTCCAGCTGTGGTCCGGACTGACAGCTGGTAGCTGCGACCGGGGGCCAGACCCTCAAAGAAAAGCTGGGTGACATTGGGAGGCAGGAGGTGTCGCTGGACGGTCGATCCGAGAGCCGACAGGGTGACCAAGTACAGGTCCACGCCCCCCTCAGGTGAGGCCCAGGAGGCCAGCAGACTGTGTGAGCTGCCATTGTTGTCCAGCCTCAGCCCTGAGAGCTCTGCTGGGACTGAGAGAGGAACCACAAACGTTTACTCTCCTCAGGACTCATACCTGATATTTACATTAAATTAGCAGCGGCAGTGAAATGATGACACTGTTGCTATGGCAATGACTTTTCACCTGTTGAGCCAGTGAAACAACATGAGTTAAACCAGAGTCACAGTTGTGTTTAATCTCAGCTGACTCACTGGTTTCTGGGTGGGGGAGGTGTTAGCTGTGGTGAGAGGAAGGGGTGGGAGGGGTGGGGGTGGTTGGCCTAAAATATCCTGGAAACAACAGCAGAGTGAGACGCTGCTGCTGCGACAGAGCTGGAATTTATGTCCAGATATGCAGTCGTTGATGTTGTTATACACTGTTTAATTACTGACACAACACAAAGCAGCTTTTATTCTGAAAACACTGCAGAGCTTTAAAAACATCCCATAATACATACCTGTGACAGCCTGTTTGGAAGTGGAGCTCTGCAGGCCCACTGCCTCTGTTACCACGGTGACAGTGTACGGGGTCCCTGGCTGTAGGTCGTCCAGCTTGGCGGAGGTCTCTGTGTTTTTCAGAGTGACGTTCTTCAAAAGAACCCCGTCCTGGTCCGTCAGCAGAACCCTGAACCGCTCGGTTCTGCCCAGACCCCCCTGCCAGGAGACACTGAGGCTGCGTGAGGACAAGGACGCCACCTGGAGGCCACTGACAGAGGAGGGAGCTGGACGAGGGAAACGAGGGACAGGAAGTTTTCAGACCTCAGTAAAACAAGTTAAAGTACCGACTATAAAAAATACTGTACGACAAGTTAAAGTACAGTGATGGAAACAGGTGAATTTCGAGTCTAGATAAAACCAGACCTGGTCTACACACAGACACATAGACCTGAAGGTGGACCTCACCTGTAGTTGCCGTGGTGTGGACAGGTGCAGCACTCTTGTTCCCGGCTATAGCCACAACGCTAACTGTGTACAGAGTGCCAGGGACCAGGGAGCTGAACCCAGACTGGGGGGCTGCAGAGCCCATGACTCTGGTACTGCGGGTGGATCCGGTGCTGGTGTCCTCCAGACTCAGATCATACCAGTCCACATGACCGGCAGAGCGAGACCAGAACACCCTCAAACCCGAAGAATCAGTGTTGACTGCAGACAGAGTTTTATACTGAGACTGAACCTGGTCCAGCTGGACCTCCAGATGAGCTGGACCAACAGGGTCTGAGACAGGAGACAAGAGACAAGAGACAGGAAAGGAGGGTGTTAGGGTTTACCTGGGACTCTAGAAGGATGAAGGATCCACCTTTTTTTGTGAGTCAGAGGTTCACTAGAAACAATCAATTGATCAGAAAAATGTATTAATTAATCAATAACAATCAACTAAGGGTACTGTAAACAGATTTTAAACAATAACCCAGCAGCAAACATCTGTTCTCTATGTAAAGATATAGTGGAGTAATGAGAATGAAGCCACACCCTCTCCATATGTGATGTCAACTAAGTTTGTCTAGTCTTTGTTTTGGTAGCTGGTCTGGTAGCTTGTGCATGTGAGTCCCTCCTGTTTAACTGCTGGTCCTCTCCACGTTTATAAACACACAGGCTCCGCCCACAGGTGTGATGTCAACGTTCAGGTGAAAGTGACCTTCCAGAATTTCCTCCACTGAAGAAGAAACTACGTTTTCATCTACAAAGGCCTCGGACAGAGACAGAGACGAGACCAGAGACCAGGTGGACTGGACTGAGGACTACCGGCTCAGATCCTGGTCGGCCAGTGGACCGTCAAAACATCCATAAAGATTTTAAAGTCTTTACTGGCTCCGTCAGTGTCGTTACCAGCTCCATCAGTGTCGTTACCAGCTCCATCAGTGTCGTTACCAGCTCCATCAGTGTCGTTACCAGCTCCATCAGTGTCTTTACTGGCTCTGTCAGTGTCATTGGTGCGGCTGGTCCCAGTGGATCAGTTTGAGGCTGAATTTCTGTTCCAGTCCAACTGTGGAGCAGATACTGGTCTGGTTTACTGAGAGGAGAACCCTACAAGCTGCTAAAGGCCAGCTGGACTGAACTGGTTTTTCTTCTCCTCCATGTGTCAGTAACTTTATGGTCCTTAATGTTACAGACTGTTTTCATAAGTGATGGCTACAGGAGACATGCTAATGATAGCTAACTTGCAAATGTTGCTATCGCTAGCTGTCTAACTTGCAGCATTTCTGTGGATAATATCACAGCTATGCTATCATGAGCTAATGGTCATCAGTTGAGCTTCTTGTTGTGTTTTCATAACACCCAACGATCGTTTATTGAACCTTTAATAATTTATCAGACAAAAAACGAAAATACAAAACATTTTTTTACTGCTTTTCTGTCTTTAAACAATTGTAAACAAACATCAACAACAAATAATAATAATGATCAGATATAACCTGACCCTGATTCAGTCGGACCTGGTCCTGTTGGACCTGGTCCTGTCAGACCTGGTCCTGTCCGACCGGGTCCTGTTGGACCTGGTCCTGTTAGATCTGGTCCTGTCTTGTGTAGATGTTGACCATGTTGGTGTGTCGGACTGAGCACATGCAGGTCTTACAGCGTATCCGGTCTTTGTAAGGTCCAGCAGTGATGGGGGACTTCGATAAGATTGTTTCAGCTTCTTGAAGAATGTGACGTTTCCATGGAGATGGTGTGAGTCCAGACAGGAAACAGAAAAAAAGACAGGGAGGGACAGGACGAGGAGTCAGTCCTGAACCCTGACCCGTCTTCATAATGGTTTCCTCCCTGAGGAGACTTCACGGTTTCCTGTTGGCAGATCCCTGACAGCTGAGGACAGCGTGTCCTGGACCGCTGTGTCCACCACCGTCCAACGCAGTGTAAAATCTGCTGTTACCATGGTAACCACAGTCACACAGTGTGGTTAAAGTCTGTTCTTAGAGTTACAGCTGAAACCTGTCAGAGATATAAGGAACAAAACACCTGAAGTTTTCTACTTAAGTCTGACTTAAGGTTAAATTTCTCCTTAGGTGAGGGAGTTACTTAAGGTTGTTGTTCTCAATCTCTTATAATGTTTCTTTAGTTAAGGAGAAACATTAAGGCATTTACAGCAAAGAAAGAGGTTTTACAGCAGTAAAATTCTACAGTTTCCATGGAGACCATTTGTTTGCTGCCATTAGCACTTGTGATACCTGTGAACATCTCACCTGTATCGTCTCACAAAGTCGACCAGAAGAAAAAAATGGCAGTAGAAAAGAAAACCAGGCAGTTCAGAAGAGGAGAAGAAGAAAACAAAGAAAACATGTCCTGAAAAGTAAATCTGATCCACAGATAACATCCGATCATTAACAGCTGAGGAGAGAGGAGTGACCAGATCAAACCATTAACTGACTGATCAGATCTATAGACACAAATCAATTCCTCTGGTTGAGGCTCCATCAGGTTCTTCAGATCGCGGAAAACTCTCCTTTAGTTTGGTGTGAACTGACTTTAAGTGATTCCTTCAGTTTAAGACTAAGATAAGGAAAAAACCTTCAATACTTAAGTGAACATTTTAAGGAAACCTTAAGTTGGACTTTAAAGAAAATCTTATCTTAAGGTGTTTAAAACTGGCCCCAGATGTTTCACTGTAATAAAAACATGTGGTTTATGGAATCTGTGATGACCTGAGTCTGATCCAGATCAGTCACTGTGACTCTTCGGTCTGAGCCTCAGTCTGTAAAAACAGTGGCAGTGAGACCTCCTGTATCCTGCCTTTCACAATGTGAGGAGGGAAGTGGCTGAGGGGGGGGGTGTTCTGGAAACAAACACTTGAGATGAGATGAAGACCATTGTTGAAGAGCTGAGAGCTCTGAACCAAGACCTTCACCTGTGTGTGTGTGTGTGTGTGTGTGCGTGCGCGTGTGCGTGCGTGCGTGTGTGTGTGTGGACTGAAACAGTCTTAGATGTGATGAAGTTGATCTGAGGTCAAAGGTCAAACTGCTGAAGCAGACCTGGACACAGTCTTAAACATGATGACACTTCTGCACATGCTCAGTAGTGTCAGTCAGGGACCACTGAGACTCCAGGGTCCTGGTCTGACTGAGTCAAGGATGTGAGGTGATGAGGTTCAACATGGAGCCTCAGTCTGGATCTGATCATCCAGACCTTCAGACCAAGATTCTGTCCTGGTCCACATCAGCTTCACCAAACCCAAGAAGAAGAACCAGGTGAGTTCTTACCTGTACGCACCGACACGCTGCTCCTCTCTCCATCCGTCCTGGAAATCACAGTGAACCGGTACAAAGTCCCGGGTTCCAGACCCCCGACCCGACAGATGAAGCTGGTCCCGGTCTCTCCATGTGGGTCACAGTTGGTGGACTCAGAGTCCTCCTCAGGAACCAGACTGAAGTTACAGGACGGGCCGCCGGAGGTCAACGTCACTACAGCCGAGTCCAAACCGGAGCTGATCCCCGTCACGTTGACAGAGCAGCGGGAAACTGTGGAGGTCAGCACCTGAAAGAGGAAGTCACGTCACCTCAGGTGAACACCACTCCTACACACCCACCCCTCAGTGGCTGAGGTCACAGAGGCTTAGGAGGACTCTGGTCTCAGGCTGAGGTGTCACCGGCTCTGATCTGGAGGGGGTGCTCTACAGACAGGTCTGAACATGTGACCCCGCCCCTCAAACACATAATCAAGTAAATAAATAGATAATAATAAACATGAGTCAGTCACATCAGCTGCTCAATGTGCCACGTTGATGACATCACTATCACCCCCTTCTTCAGGACCCTGGTCCTGGTCTAAGCTACTTTAGAAACCTTTAAAACTGGATCCGTGAACTCACCGCAGTCATGTTCCAGAACAAACCGAGGATCAAACATCTGAGCATCGCTCGTAGATCATAGATCTGATCTGATCCGGTCTGGACCCAGGTCAGCTGACATACCGAACTTACAGACACGAGTCAGTCCAGACTCTGACCACGTCTACATCCTCATCCTCCCTCCCTCACACACCTGGTTTCTTCATGTCTCAGGTGAGACGTTAAAGGACCAGGCCAGACTCTCGTCTCTCTGAGGATCCATCGATGTCTAAACTTTCACTATTCTGCGACCAGGAGAGGCGGACTCTGCAGACCACCACCCCACCCTGCTTTCCTTCCTGCTGCCTCGGACTCTGTGACGACCTTTAGCATCAAACCAGCTCCATCAGTCCTCCATTGTTATGACTGAGAGAAAGTTATCCAATCAGGAAGCAGCCTCACACAGGCTCTAATTATAGACACAGCCTCACTAACTCCTCTTCATCATTAACTCCTCGTCATCAGTCAGAGCCTCCCTACCAGACTCCATTCAAAGTTCAGCTGATTTCTTCAACTAAACTGCTGAAGCATTAGTGTTTTCCTCCAGATGAACCAATCACATCAGTCCCTGATCAAAACCTTGATGATGTCACCAAACTTACTTCCTTGTTTGTGGTGTTGTTGTTGTGAAGCTGCAGACACGTGTGACATGAACGTCTCACATTCACCAACAAACATCACTGTTAAAGACGTGTAAAGACATTCAAACATGAAAGGGTTAAATAGTTTTGTAGCGCTGCAACATCACGTGTGATTTCCAAAGGCCAATCATGCATCAAGTAACACTAAAGCTCTACGTTATTATTGTTAAATTGATGAGGTGATTTTAAAGATCAGCTCTACCTGTGATAAAGATGGAGCAGAGGAGCAGAATCTCTTCTTCTTTTTCCCTACAGCAACTTTATATTCAGACGTTTATTTTCTCCCACAGTCTCATTGCAACAAAAAAAACCTTCTAGAAACAACTAAAAACAACAGAACTTTTAAGAAAAAGCTGTGGTGAAATCAGGTGTTTTAGCAACAATCCCAAACACAACCTGAAATTCTGGAGAGATGATTAAACAGTAAAGAGCCACAGAGGTGAAGGAGCAGCACTTACAGGTGTAGCTGTGACTCCTGAAGTTGTGGTCGGAGGTGTAGCTGTCGTCAGACGAGTCGTGGTCACTGTTGTTGTAGCTGCAGGCGTGGTTGAACTGGCTGTGGTTTGGATGGTGGTCATCATGGTTGTAGTGCTCCTGGTTGTGGTTGTAGGTGTATTGGTCGGACTGGTGGGCGGGACCGTTGGTGCCCTGGCTGTTGGAGACGTGGATGGAGCAGTTTGAGTAGCGGTGTTCACTGACGTGTCTGTCTGCAGTGTCCAGGTGAGTGTGGGAGGAGTCTGTGAGGTGGCAGGTGGAGTCTGGTGTGTGGTGGGTGGAGTCTGTGAGGTGGTGGGTGGATTCTGGTGCGTGGTGGGTGGAGTCTGTGAGGTGGTGGGTGGAGTCTGGGAGGTGGCAGGTGGAGTCTGTGAGATGGCAGGTGGAGTCTGGGAGGTGGTGGGTGGAGTCTTGGAGGTGGTGGGTGGAGTCTGTGAGGTGGTGGGTGGGGTCTGTGAGGTGGTGGGTGGAGTCTGGGAGATGGCAGGTGAAGTCTGGGAGGTGGTGGGTGGAGTCTTGGAGGTGGTGGGTGGAGTCTGTGGGGTGGTGGGTGGAGTCTGGGATGTGCTGGGTGGGGCCTGTGAGGTGATGGGTGGAGTCTGGGATGTGCTGGGTGGGGCCTGTGAGGTGATGGGTTGAGTCTGGTGTGTGGTGTGTGGAGTCTGGGAGGTGGTGGGTGGGGTCTGGGATGTGATGGGTGGGGCCTGTGAGGTGATGGGTGGAGTCTGGGAGGTGGTAGGTGCTGGATCTGTCTCCATGATGGATGTCTGTCCTGTTGCTGTAGGTGAAGGAGCTGTGGCAGGTGGAGGTGCAGCTGTGGAGGTGGAATTCTCCTCAGTGGTTGTCTCATGGTGGTTTGATGAACCAGAATCAGTCGAGTCCTTAGAGGTGAAGGAGACACCAGAGGAGACCAGAGTCTCAGCAGTGGTCCCAGTCCATTCACTTCCAGGTAAAGACGTGGACTCTGAGGACTCTGCGGAGACTTGTTGGTGCACTGATGAGGTCCTGGACTCAGTCCTGAGTTCAGGGACGTTGGTACCTGATGGACTCTCTGCTGTGTCGGTGGTGGACTCAGCCGGACTGGATGAGACCGAGTGGGTCCGGTTTAAAGCCGACAGCTCAGTGACTGAGGTGGAGACGTCAGGGTCCGTGTTGGTCTGATGTCTGGTGACGTGGTCCAGATCCACTGCAGCGGTGTTGGAGACTGAGGGGGAGACGTCAGGGTCCGTGTTGGTCTGATGTCTGGTGACGTGGTCCAGATCCACTGCAGCGGTGTTAGAGACTGAGGTGGAGACGTCAGGGTCCGTGTTGGTCTGATGTCTGGTGATGTGGTCCAGATCCACTGCAGCGGTGTTGGAGTGGGAGGGGCGGAGCTGTAAGGTGGTCACCTGCCGGCTGACTCTGTGAGGTGACTCGTCATCAGTCACTGCAGGACTCCTGATGGTGTGGACGGTGCTGCTGAGCCCCACAGGATTATGGGTGGATGAATAAAAGATGGTGGACAGGGGGGCGGAGTCTGGAATAGAACCAGGGACAGGTGATACATGTGTGTCAGAGTCCAGATCCTCTGGTCAGATATTCCTCCATTACAAGTGACAGCTGTTCAGTCAGATTAAAGTACTGCAGTACTTGATTTTAAAAGACCTAAGTTTTCAAAAGTACATTTTTATGTCAACACATTGTTGTATTTTATTTACAGAACTTGGTGACTCTGAAACGACTTACTGACTGACTAACTGACTGATTNATATTCCTCCATTACAAGTGACAGCTGTTCAGTCAGATTAAAGTAAACAAACAGATTAAACAAAACTGACTGACTGACTGACTGATGACTGACTGATGACTGACTGACTAACCGACTGATGACTAACTGACTGACTGACTGACAGACTGACTGACTGACTGACTGACTGATGACTGACTGACTAACCGACTGATGACTAACTGACTGACTGACTGACAGACTGACTGACTGACTGACTGACTGATGACTGACTGACTAACCGACTGATGACTAACTGACTGACTGACTGACAGACTGACTGACTGACTGACTGACTGATGACTGACTGACTAACCGACTGATGACTAACTGACTGACTGACTGACAGACTGACTGACTGACTGACTGACTGATGACTGACTGACTAACCGACTGATGACTAACTGACTGACTGACTGACAGACTGACTGACTGACTGACTGACTGATGACTGACTGACTAACCGACTGATGACTAACTGACTGACTGACTGACAGACTGACTGACTGACTGACTGACTGATGACTGACTGACTAACCGACTGATGACTAACTGACTGACTGACTGACAGACTGACTGACTGACTGACTGACTGATGACTGACTGACTAACCGACTGATGACTAACTGACTGACTGACTGACAGACTGACTGACTGACTGACTGACTGATGACTGACTGACTAACCGACTGATGACTAACTGACTGACTGACTGACAGACTGACTGACTGACTGACTGACTGATGACTGACTGACTAACCGACTGATGACTAACTGACTGACTGACTGACAGACTGACTGACTGACTGACTGACTGATGACTGACTGACTAACCGACTGATGACTAACTGACTGACTGACTGACAGACTGACTGACTGACTGACTGACTGATGACTGACTGACTAACCGACTGATGACTAACTGACTGACTGACTGACAGACTGACTGACTGACTGACTGACTGATGACTGACTGACTAACCGACTGATGACTAACTGACTGACTGACTGACAGACTGACTGACTGACTGACTGACTGATGACTGACTGACTAACCGACTGATGACTAACTGACTGACTGACTGACAGACTGACTGACTGACTGACTGACTGATGACTGACTGACTGACTAACTGACGGATGACTGACTGATGACTGACTGACTAACTGACTGACTGACTGACTGACTGACTGACTGACTGACTGATGACTGACTGACTAACTGACTGAGTGA